TATAAATTCTATAAAACTCAAAATTACCTAATAAAATTCAAATTAATTCGAATTAACAAAATATAAAAAAGATTTTAATTCAAATTACAAAGTTTCACATTGGTTTTAAGTAAAAAAGATTATATGAAAGCCTCTTATAAAACTATAGAGCTAAATATATAATAATCACACATTCTCGGCCTTTTGATTAAGATCAAGTACAGTTCTAAATTTTTTTAAGTTAGCCTTTTGGCTGACCTTTCTTGGTTTTTTGGCTAAGATCAAGTATAGTATTACTTTCTCGGCCTTTGTGCAAAGAGTTTTAGTATTTATTTATTAATTGACTTATATTCTAAAAAACTCAAAATTACCTAATAAAATTTAAATTAACAAAATATAAAAATAGTTTAATTCACAATAATTATAATAAATTACAAAGTCCTACATTGGTTTTAAGTAAAAAGGATTACATGAAGCCTCTTATCTATACTATTATTAAATGTGCAAAGTATTTCAGTATTTATTTATTAATATAAAAAATATTTATTAATTGATATAAAACTCCAAAAATTAACTAATAAAATTTAACTTACCTATTTATTCTAAATCTATACTATTATTAAAAGAATTTCTATAAATTCAAATTACAAATTCCTTAATAGACCTATACTATTATTAAAAGAGTTTCTTTAAAACTGTAACACAAAATCTATATCTATATCTATATTATTATTATAAAAGATAATGACATTCATCCAGCCCCGCCCGACCAGTTATGATTATGTCATTATCAAGAGAAGACACATGTAATCATCATATTAATCCAAGAAGCCTATAAATAGAGGCATTGAGGAAGGAGGAAGGATACAGGAATTGAGAATTCTAGAAATTCATGGGGCAGACATTTAGAGACTCACCCAAGCCTTGAAGAAGCCACAAATTCTCTAAAGACAACAAGCACATCTACTTCATATGTAGCTGACAGGATCAGAGAAACATCAGAGAATTGTACTCATTTTTTATAAATTAATAAATTAATTATTATTTAAAAATTAATTATTATTTACTTTGTAAAAGTTAATTCACCACATATTATTCTGATACTTTTTTTTTTTTTTTACATCCTCATGATAAGGTTGGGCAGTGGATTAGACATTACATCACGCCTCAGGTTGGGCTAGGAAGAAACTCATATCTATAATTTCATTTATATTTAAATGAATATTTGGACTCAATGGAATGGTTCTATATTTTGTTGCAGGCACTAAGTAAGCAGGTAGGTTTTATTGGTAGGGGATTATTTCGAAGGTGAAGAAGTTAGGAAACTCATCCGAGTGAGTTTTGAAATTCACAAGATGTTGACAAAATAATTCAATTTTAAATATGTTAACTTTGACATAAATTAATTACCAATTAAAATTAAATAGGTAAAATAAAATAATAACTTTAACACAAATTACCTTATGAGTTTTTTAATAAAAAGGAAATTTAATTAGACAATGATATATTTAAAGAAAATGAAATAATTTCCCTATTTTATTTTCAATAAAACACATTAGACAATGATATATTTAAAGAGTTTTTATAAAACTCAAACACAAATTACCTATTTATCTATTTATTAAATTTTTTTTAATAAAAGAATATCTAATTAGACAAAAAAATATTAATATAAAAAATATTTATTAATTGATATGGAAATTAAAACAATTTCTCTAAAACTCTACCACAAATTATCTTTTATTATGAGTTTTTTAATAAAAGGAAATTTATTTAGACAAAGATATATTTAAAGACAATAAAATAATTTCTTTAAAACTCTACCACAAAATATACAAGGATATATTTAAAGAAAATAAAATAATTTATACAAAACTCTACCACAAATTATTTATTTCTTTCAATAAAACTTTATCACATTAGACAAAGATATATAAAATTCTATTACAAATTACCTATTTTTTTTTCAACAAAACTCTATCACACTAGATAAGGATATATTTAAAGAGTTTTTATAAAACTCTAACACAAATTACCTATTTATCTATTTATTATGAGTTTTTTTAATAAAAGGAAATCTAATTATAGGAGTATTATTAATATATAAAAAAATATTTATTGATTGATATAAAAAAGAGGTTTTAAAACAGTTTCTATAAAACTCTAATAGAATTTACCTATTATCTATTTATTATGAGTTTTTTAATAAAAGGAAATCTAATTAGACAATAATTATTAATGTAAAAAAATATTTATTAATTGATTTAAAAAGAGTTTCTATCTAAAACTTTAACACAAATAACCTATTTATTTATTATGAGATTTTAATAAAAGAAAATATAATTAAACAATAATTATTAATATAAAAAATATTTATTAGTTAATATAAAAAATAAAATAATTTTTCTAAAACTCTACCACAAATTATCTTTTATTTTGAGTTTTTTTTTTTTTTTTTAATAAAATGTAATCTATTTAGACAAGAAATATTAATATAAAAAAATATTTATTAATTGATATAAAAAGAGTTTTTAAAAGATTTACTCAAACATATATTACCTATTTATTTATTTATTATGAGTTTTTTTAAAAAAAAGAAAATATAATTAAACAATAATATATTTAAAGAAAATAAAATAATTTCTATAAAATCTACCACAAATTAGTAGTTTTATTTTCTATAAAACTTTATCACATTATATATTTATTATGAGTTTTTTAATAAAGTAAAATTTAATTAGACAAGAATATATTTAAAGAAAATAAAATAATTTATATAAAACTGTACCGCAAATTAGCTATTTTATTTTCTATAAAACTCTATCACTAACAACATGTATTTATCTATTTATTATGAATATATTTACAAAAAATAAAATAATATCTGTAAAACTCTACCACAAATTATCTATTTTATTTTCTTTAAAATTCTATCACATATAACTGGTATTTATATATTTGTTATGAGTTTTTTAATAAAAAGAAATCTGATTAGACAATGATATATTTAAAGAAAATAAAATAAATTTTTAAAAGAGTTTATATAAAACTCTAATACAAATTACTTATTTATCTATTTATCTTGAGTTTTTTAATTAAAGAAAATCTAATTAGACAAGAATTATTAATATAAAAAATATTTATTATTTGGTATAAAAAAATAAAATACTTTTTATAAATTCTAACACAAATTACAGTTTTTTTAATAAAAGAAAATCTAATTAGACAAGGATATATATATTTAAAGAAAATAAATAATTTCTATAAAATAGACAATAATTATTAAGATAAAAAATATTTATTAATTGAATTAAAAAATAAAATACTTTTTATAAAACTTTAACACAAATTACAGTTTTTTAATAAAAGAAAATCTAATTAGACAATGATATATATAAATAAAATAAAATAATTAAAAAATATATATAAAAAAAAATTCTACAAGTTACAAAACACGTGCCTTTTAATAGTATATATATAAGAGAGGAGAACAAAACTTGTGAATTTTAGGTTTAAATACTTAAATGACAGTATGAGTAGAAGTGATAAAATAAATACTGAATTGTGTGAGAAGAATATTAGGAATAGAGTTTATAAATGATAATTGATGCAACAGTTAAAAATTTAAGAGGGATGAAGTAATTTAAAATAATTTCTAAAAATTAAATCTAAAGAGAAGATGTTGAATTTTTCATAGTGTATAAGAGGAAAGAATGAAAAAAGATAATTTTATAGCACAAAAATCATGACATTAACGGGGAGGATGATGATGAAGAAGTTTCTCTTTTTCAATTACTTAATTTATTGGGTTTAACCTATATCTATATCTATATACTATTATTAAAAATACAAAGTGTTTCAAATCATTTAGTTATATTAAAAGACTTCTAATAACGTACAAAGTATAATATTAAAAAATATATTTAGAAAAGGAAATACATTAATATATAATATAAAAAAAATATTTATTTAATTTAATAAAAGGGAATCTAATTAGAGAAGAAATGTATGATATTAAAAAATTATTTATTTTGTTAATAATAACAATATTATAGGTACTAGGAAATATTGAAATTCAATAAAAAAATCTAATTAGAGAACAAATATATATAATATTAAAAAAATCTAATTAGAGAAATCAACACATTAATATTTATTTAGTTTATAATAATAATAATAATATAAGTAATAGAAAATACTAAAATTCAATAAAAATAAAACCTAACTAGAAAAGGAAATATATAATATTAAGAAATTTAATTAAAGAAGGAAACACATTATTGAATTTCGGTAGTACAAAGAGTGTCAGTACCATTATTGTATTTTAGTCTTTCAGTACATTAATATATAATATAAAAAAGTTATTTATTTAATTCGATAAAAAGAAATCTAATTAGAGAAGTAAATGTATAGTATTAAAAACTTATATCATTGTCCCACTAAATATTTGAATTATTTTATACATTTAGTTGGAGTAATTTTAAAATATATAAATTTTAACATTTGTCTAAAATTATTATTTATATCATAGTTAATAATTATTTAAACAAGAAATTGTAACCTATGATACCAATGAATGTGCAAAAGACAAATTAATTTAGTTTCACAAATATTTGAAATTCAATTATTGAAAGAACTTGATAATTACGTAAATATTTGTAAAAGGGAATTTATTTTGATAAATATGTATAATTTCTTTTAATTAAAATTATAAAATTATTTTTGACCATGCACTTGTCAAATATAATTATTTTTTAGCAATAAATTATACACTCCGTAGTCCGTACCATATTACCTATACAACTTTTACTTATAATCTAACACACATTGATGAATAAAAAATAAAAAAAAAAACACACACACACACATTGATGGCAATAATTATACTCAGAATCAGAAATTAATTTAAGGGAAGAATGAGGTACCTCACAGGTAAATAAATGCATTTTAATTATTACCACAGTTAAAGTCATCAACTTTTTTTTTTTCTCACTCATTCTAAAAAGTGATCATCGGCGTCGTTTCCACACAAAAAAAGAAAAAATATCAAACAAGCAAAGAGGTCTTCAGTTCTGAATTCTCTCATATCCCCTCTTTTTTGAACTTTATTCACTTCCTTCATGCCCACCAGTCACAACCACCCACCACCACCCTCCCAAACCACCATTTGTCCCATCTTCTTCTACATAATCAATATAATAGTATCATAATATATATATATATATATACACACACACACACACACACCCCCCTATACAGAGAAGACGACGACTAATTACTTTACTGATTCTATCAGTGACCATCAATAGCAATTGTGATTAATGGATTTGGGAGATCGGAATCAGGGTGGGTCGATAGGGAATTACACACTGGGACCCAGTATCGGGTCGGGTTCGTTCGCGGTGGTGTGGCGGGCGAGACATCGGCAATCAGGTACGCAAGTGGCAGTGAAGGAGATAGACAAGAAACAGCTCAGCCCCAAAGTAGCCGATAATCTCCTCAAGGAGATTTCGATCCTCAGCGACATTCGTCATCCCAACATTGTTCGCCTCTTTGAAGCCATCGAGGTTATTTCTTTGCTGTCTTTAATCTGATTAATTTTTTATGTTACACATACATATACTATTTCAATGAAGTTAAATGCTAGCGATATTGGGTTTTTTTTTTTTTTTTTCTTATGATTCAGACTGAGGACAGAATTTACCTTGTTTTGGAGTACTGTGACGGCGGTGACCTTGCCGGTTACATTCATCGGTGCGGCAAAGTTTCTGAAGCTGTTGCGAAGCACTTCATGAGGCAATTGGGTATTCTTCTCACCCACTGATTCTTATCATGGCTACATAAGACTTAATCTATATTTGTAAAAATATATTTTTCTAACAATTAGGCAAAATTGGGTGATAATTTATATGTGTGTGTGTATATATATATATATTCTAACAATTAGGCAAAATTTGGGTATGTTCTCTTCTCAAGTTTTGGTCAATTTTAATTCTGTCTATTTCTTAAAACCCCTTTTATATTATTTTATTTGGTGTTGGGGAAGGGAAAAAAGGAACTTTATTGTTCTTGATTGTGGATTATATTTGTTCAGCTGCGGGACTGAAAGTGCTGAACGAGAACCGTCTCATTCACAGAGATTTGAAACCTCAGGTATTGTTGATTTTTGTTGTGCTGTTGTCTAAATCTCAAGGTTATTTGAGTACATGATTTCATAGATATTTTGAATGGGACTTAAATTAGCTGCATTATTGTGCTTTTCTTTGGGGGTGAAAGGTTTGATTATGAGTATGATTCACGTTTTAGTTCATTACTTTATGAACATTTAGAATTGATTACTTAGGCTGTGATTTTCATAAACTCAACTGCACAGAGCTTTGTTCTAATTAATCTTTAAGCACTTAGAATCGGATCATGAAACTAAGGTTGATGCCTATCACTTTTGGGTTATTTGTTTGATAAAATATGCTGAAACTTGCAGAACCTACTTTTGTCAACTAATGAAGCGGCTCCGCTACTGAAGATAGGTGACTTTGGTTTTGCAAGGTATGGCTATATGAATAACGTATATAATTATTTAACGATTGATCTTTTTTGCGAACATCCACCAATTTGAAACAGTGCCTTTTTAGGAAACCTGAAAAGCAGGTCAGCTAAAGGTAGTCCATCATGTTGCCTATGCTTAATATTTAGTGATGTAAATTTACGGTTGGTGTTATTTTCTTCTATAAATTTAGGTATAAAGTCATTCTTTCGAATTCAATGTTTTAGTTCAATACCAGAGTTCAGCAACTGGTGGCATGTGAACCCTGTCTGGCCCACCACAGGAATTTCCTGAAGAGCCTTGAAGACTGTTGAATCCTATGCTGGAGATGACATAATCAATTCTGTTCTATTAAGTCACCCTCTAGTAGCTTGTGTGTTTTTATGCTTTCACTTTATTATGTCTCTTCCAAGATCTATCATCTATCAAATCTAAAAATTGTGGCTTGTCCTCCGCCAGTGGTACCTATTGTCCCAAAAAAGTAGAGTTACTTTTCAAGTTAAGACAACAAGCATGGTGTATCGAATCTGATTGATGTCTATCTATTTGTTGACATCTCATTACTTCAGTTCTCCTGCTTTAATCGTTTGGGCATCATATTCTTTCTGTTCTTAGTTTATGCACATTCATCCTTTTCAGTCTCTTTTGTCTTGTCCACAAAATAAGGAAATGAAGAATGGCCAAAAGATTTGTCCAGTGGCCATCAATGTTGGTTTTTTCCGTTGGTTCTTCTTTCTCTATATTACTATTTTTGAATATTCTAAGTGTAAAGTTGTAAACAATTGATTTATATAATTTTTTGTTTTTTATATAAGTGATGTTACCCAGTTTTGGTCTCCCTACAACAGGTCCAGTTAGGGTAGATGATATCAGGTCTTCTCTTGTTGAGACTTCTCTCATTGAACAAGCCTTATGATAATTGAGTCTTCTTTTGTCGAGTTTAAGTTGTTTAACTCATCATTAGATTATCATAGTTTAATTAGGACTATCCTGATAAATGTTTAAAAGGTCTAGGCAGGGTTTTTTTTTTTCTTTTTATTATTATTAGTTTTTTTTTTTTTTCCGGGGGTTGGGGCGGTTGGGGATGGGGATGGGGTGTGGGGTTTACTACTTCTACACCTTCTTCGTGAAATTATTTGTAACCAATACAAATAAGATAAATTAAACATTGTCACAGCTATGCCTGCATGTATTGCGATTTTACTTATATGATCCCAATTCTTCTCATGTTTGCTACAACTTCATTAAATCCCACTTCTTTTTAAAAATACACTCTAATTACTAAATGTATTAAATCTTTCTCATGTCATATGGAACATGTAGACGCGGCAGACGCCTTAGATGTGATGCACCAAAGCAAGCCTGTCTTATCACATCAATAACTTCTTGAAAACTTATTTTTTGAAGCCTTGTGCTAATGGTTGTTTTGCTATTTGAACTTCGTCATTTACAGGTGCCACATTTTGTAAATTGATGGTTATTTCCCGTCATGTTTTACAAAGTAATCCATTTTGTTGCTTTAATGCAACACATGAGCAACCCAACCTACATGATTTCCTTTACCTCTTCCAGTTCAGTTGTTCTTATTTCCATAGGTGTCCTTGTTATAGGGAGATCTGCTACTCTTTCGGATATCATAACATTTTCTCAAAATTTCAAACATTGAAAGAGACTTGATTGTTGGAAGCCTGTTTATCTTTTTATAAGTACAATCATGTCTTGTTCGAACCACAATCATCTCTCCTTAAGTTGTTTAGTAAATAAATAGCCTTTATGTTTCAGCCTTGAAATTCTTGAGCCTTTTCCTTGGAATTATGTTGTCTTATTTTCTTGTTCTTTTAGTTCTTTTGAAACAAAGTTCTGATATAACTAATTTAAGCTATATGGTTTGACTTTATCATGGGCGAACATTTCAAGCCTTTCTCGACAAACTTGAGATTGATGCTAAGGACAGCAAGGATTACTCATTACCCTTTGTATTCTCTAGCCTTGACAACTTTTACATTCCTTGAGTGCATGATTGGAAAAAAGATGAAATTGTAATAAAGAAATTTTTGGTTCAGTGCATGATTGGAAAAAAATGAAATTGTAATAAAGAAATTTTTTGGTTCAGTGTCAACATATGAAAGGCATCTTTGGCAGGCCTGGCAAGGTTTAAAGTGGACATGTATAGAAAGAAGCTTGGAGAGTAGCCTCATTATGCCTCTTTTGCTGTGTTTGAAGATGGAGAAGTAAGAGATATTTGAGGAAAAAGAGTATCGTTGTATAAGCAAAAGGCATGTATCTTTTAGAACACTTTTTTTGTGGGTTTCTGTGAGGCTAACCCATTTGACAGTATGTTTTATAGTTGTTTGGAGAGATTATTTAGTTATTTTTCGTAAAATGTGTTCTGGTTTTTAGGCCTTGCTTTGGTATTTGCTGCTTTGGCTTTTGCTCTTTCTTTAAATTGTGTGTGAATGAGTAGAGTCCCTTGGTCTTCTCAGTGGATTTTGCTTATTTATTCCAAAAATGAAGTGCATATTTGGGTGATGGACTACCTGGATTATTCGACATGGTCATTGTGACAATGAACTTTGTTTGTTTTTCAAAAAACAAGGAGTCCAGTGAGTACCTGGTTGATCTTATATGAAGGGTTATTCTTAATCATCTATTGTTGGATGTGGACTACTGGCTATTTATTGATTAAGATTGGGAGAATACATGATAGATGCTAGTGTTGAATTAAACTCATCTGATCAGATGGATTGGAAAATTGCAAAGTATACATAGCTACTGTTGGATTGATTGGTTTTGGATATTAAACATGTTAACTTAAAAAGTATTTGGACTTCAAATTCAAGATACATGAGCACATCAGTTTAGAAATTAAAAACAAGTATTTATTTCCTCTAGAAAGCATGACTTGAACATAGAGGGACATTGTTTTCATGTTAGTTTGATGGAGGGTAATGGTCGGCCGCACAAGCCTAGCGGGAAGCAATCCCCACAGTATTATATGCACAAGTGCCTTGTTTGAATTTAAGGTTTAAAGAAGTCCAAGAACTCTCTCTTCTTCCCCCCCCCCCCCCCCCCCCCCCCCCTTCCCCCTTTTAATTTCCTTTTTTTAAGCTATCAAGGTAATTAATCTATGGCAAGCAAGCTTATATTTTATTGAAAAAAGTCAATGGGAAGTTCAAAATGATGTACTTCATCTTTTACACCTGATCAAACCTTGAAGTATCTATTTGCCAGGTACCTGACACCTCAAGGTTTGGCTGACACACTGTGCGGTTCACCATTATACATGGCGCCTGAGATAATTCAGAATAAAAAGTATGACGGCAAGGTGATGAAATGTAAAATTGAAATCATATTGGCAGTACATGTAAAATTATGTTCTATTCTTATATTGTCTCCAGCTATGGTAAATGCAGGCTGACTTATGGAGTGTTGGAGCTATCTTGTTCCAGTTGGTGACTGGGAAGCCGCCATTTGATGGTGATAACCACTTCCAGGTTTTGATACAAATTACTATTATTGTACATCATATATGAAAGATCTTAAGTTATTCCAGTAATGAAGAAAATGAAAACAAGATCTGGAATGAAATCAATTCTTTGTCGTCTGTTTCCTTGCTATCAACAGCTTTTTCAGAATATTTTGACATCCAGTGAGCTGCGGTTTCCACAAGGTGCTTTACAAGTACTAAATCCAGATTGCGTTGCTCTTTGCAGGGGCCTTTTACGTCATAACCCTGGTATGAGTTAGTTTGACCTTAACTATGATTCTCAGTATTCTTTTGTCTCAGACTAGGATTTATATTATTCTTTTCTTCTCCTTTTTTCAATTATTATTATTATTATTTTATTTTTATTTTTTTTGGGGAGGAGAGGAGGGTTATCTTTTGATGTTCTGGAACATTTTTCTGCTTTTGAAGTATAGTGGTGTAGCAATTCAAAGTCTTCAACAACACCACCAAAAAGAAGTGGGAAAAAAAGTATAGTGGCTTAGCAACTATTATTTTTGTGAGAAAAAGAGCAATTTTTAAATTTGGCGTAGACAATTTTGTGGTTCATAAAGGAAGTGCTGCTATTAAATGAGAGTCGAAAAGTTACTCTTGTTTCTGTAAAAGTAGTGATTAAGGTTTGGAAATACTAATAGTTTAAAAAAGTTTATTATTTATAGGCAGAATATTTAAGTTTCATAGTGTTGTGCTATATTAGGGGTGGGATTCATCATCTTGCTGTTCTATACAGTTGTGCTGGTCTAGCTCTTAAACTTGTTCTTCTTTGCTTGCAGTTATAAAATTTCAGTGTCTAGAATGCTCAATGTACTTGTTTAGATCACCTAGTGTTGTCATTAATATGGTGTCCTATACAATAATGTTTGTTTGTGTTTACAAATTTTCCTTTTCATATGTAGATATTCAAAATAAGATATTCCACTTGAATGCTTGCTAAACTCATACAAAACACAGTTTAGTTTTGACATTCAATATTCACTTCATGGTTCATCCAAGTATTCTTCATGTAGATTGAACTTGTGATTGTTTTGCAGTTGAGCGACTAACATTTGAGGAGTTTTTCGATCACAAGTTCTTAGCAGAGGCCAGGTAATATTTTAATCATCAACTTGCAATATTTTGAGTGGATGTGCATAACTTTGCTGCTTGATTTTCCCCAAAAGTCAAGATAACTTGAGCTACTTAGCAATGTCAAGACACTTTAGGACAACAATGGATGTTGAGCAGTCTTGCCTACATCCTGGTTGAGCTTTTCGATTGTCTATCAGACAAAAAAATTTCCTTCAGGATCTGATAGAATGCCTCAATTACATTTTCGGTGTTTGTTAATGTTATGTAACAGAGACTCAGAAATTTCTTCATCATCATCTTTACCTGGCGATGTCAAATGTAGAAAGGATCATGGCAGCATATTCCGACCCTCAGGTATTGGTGAGTTTATACGAAATACTGCCTGTGATAGGCTGAGGACATCTCTTGAAGGTGACGTAGATTCATCAGACCAGCTACCAGGTCAGTTCATATGATTAGGGCTCTCTAATGTTAAGCTTCTTGCTTTGTTTGATGATCACTTATTTTGGTTTGTTTCCAGTTACTGATTCAATGGAGTCCATTGAAAAAGATTATGTTATTGTTAGTGCTCATTTTGCTTCAATGGAGACATTTTCTTGTTCCTTGGAAACATCCTTGCTAAGTAATCCTGCAAGCAGAGTTTTTAGTGGTGCACCAAAGAAGAATGCTCGGGATATTGATGCTGCAATGAAAGCAAAGGCGCCAGTTGCTAGTCCAGTTCGTAGTGCAAAAATTGCAGGGAGCCAAGAATCAGATTTGTTAGCAGCATCAAGTGCATCGACTATATTGAGGGAAGTGCAAGGGCTGTCTGTATTGCATCCTTCAACTAGGCTCCAGTTGTTGCACCAGTATATTTGTACTCTTTCAGAACTAGCACAAGTAAAGGTAAGTTGTTTCTTGTTTTCTCTCTTTTTTATTTTATTTTATTTTATTTTGGTCGAACAGTTCAGTAATCTCTGGACTTATAATTGAAATCAGGCATCTTTCTTTGATTGGATGTATGTAGTTGATAGTGTTCTTTTCCATAGCATATTTGAATTCTTGATCTAGATGCTCCTCAGTTCTTATTGCTTTGAGTCTACTCTAGTCACTGGTTATCTCATCCTGGAAAAAATTATTTAAGGGTGATGGGGCCTTCCCCTCTTTCATCCGGAAAAGCAGCAAGCGGGGCACTGCTTTCGAAGCAGGGGCAGCTCTTTTTACTAGCGGATTGAATTCCCTTGCGCTTGCTACCTAGGAATAGCTTCTTGTACTCTTCGTGATAGTTAACCCGGTTCGAGTTGAGGAGTGAGCTCTAGTTCCTTTTCTTACTCACTCGATAGTCCTAGCTGCTATCCCAATAGTTGTAGCTTGCTTCTCTTTCTTATGTTGAGATCTTCTGAACAAATCATTAACCTATGTATTTTATTGTGCTGTGGTAAGTGTATTAGGTTCTGCAGGTAGGTAAATCAAGTATTGTACTCCATAATATGAGCTGAAAAAACTAGAATGTATAAGTTCTGACAACCCCCAAGTATATGGTTAACATGTTACTATGAGCCATCTATTACAGATGAAAACATGTTGCCCCAAATGGCACATTTTTCCATAAAGATAGTTCTTGTTACTAATGTTCTGCAAGTTAATTTATATGGAATTAGTACTCTCATTATTAAGAAAATTTTATCTCTTGGACCAGATGCACTGAACTTGCAATTTCAATTGGCAGTTCAGTGCAGGTCTGTTTCTAGAATCATTTTCAGTTGAACTGGTAGTTTTGGCAATTTGGAAAAATGCTATTCAAGTTTGCAGCTCTTGGCTGGCCTCCGCCACAGAGGGTGATGTACCTGGAAGCTGTTCTGTTCATGAATCCACACCTGTTCAGGAAGGTTCTGGCTTATCTCCATATTCAGAAGAAACTGTAGATTTTAGCATACCTCAGTCTGTTTCCATGTGGGCAGAGCAAGGGTTTCTTGTTGCACTTGATCGTGCAGAGAAGTTATCAAATCATATTCAGGATATGGATGGTGAGTTGGATTATATTTCTCTATTATGCTTGCTGGTTCTTCATTTCCAATACCGGATTGCATTTTACTTGATATGTTAAATTTATTCAGGTAATGTTCAGATGCCAGATGCTATGGAGATTATATTTCAGACAGCACTTCACGTTGGGAAAAATGGTGGTGTAAGTAAACCTTCTTTTTCTGCAGTGATGTTTTTTTCTCTCACATCCCCCTTAAAAATGATTTAACCCCCACCTAAATAGCCCATCCTTGTTCCAGGTGGATGAACTAATGGGTAAGAAGAGCAGTGCAGCAGCATCATACTCGAAAGCAGTGCTACTGCTTTCATTTATTGTTGGAGAAGCAACTGCACTGCCACTCAACCCGCCGTTTTTATTAACTCCTGCTGATGGAAAACGAATAGAAGGATACATCATCAACTTCAAGTCTCGACAGTCTCATTTCCAAATGTCACCATCATCTTCTAAGCAGTCCTTGGACCCTTTGAGCAAGTAAATACATCTGATTCTGTACAGCTATCAACATCAAATCTCAAACTACAAATCAAAACACGAGCTTCCTTGAGTTGCTGATTACCAATATAATGTCTTGATATTGTGGTACAATGCATCTCAAAATATTGAACAATGATAAATCCAAACCATCATGTCAGAAAGCTTGAGCTGCCAACATGTCGCGAAGTTGTGGTCAGATGCAGCAGATAATTTTGATCTTGTTTGGTGATGACTTGATGGAAAGGCCATAAATTTTGTTTATTGATTACATTATGAGGAAGACTCGTTGAGTATATACTCTGATACAAAAGAATTATTCAACAGAATACTGACAATCTGGATGAGAGAGATGATAATTGTTTGGGTGATTATGTAGACATGGCTATACATTCTCTGTGAATGGACATTGTAAATATAAACAGATGATATTCTTGTACAGTTTTGTTCATTTTTATTTTGTAAGTACTGCATATTAGATAGTAGCATTCACTTTGTTCCAAGATGTAGTTAAGATGGTAAAATCATTGTATTAAGTAAACTATGCTCACTTTATTTTTACGACCACTACTGCCACTAGTAGCATTATCATTACTACCATCATTGTTACTATTACCCCATTTTTTTCCTTTTTTTTTTTTGGTTGTTGTGCCAACTTTTGTGCAAGCTCTCTCTTTCTCTCACTCATGGCGATACATTGAATAGTCTTACTATTCAAAATGGTAAAATGAGCCACTACACTCGGGTCCACCTCTGTTCCATTAGCTTCGGGTCTAAACTGACTCGCAGAGAGAAAAAATAATAATAATAATAAAATGATCAACTACTCTGATCCACTACATTCTCTGCCAGCGAGAAAACAATGTACCCCTAAAAAAGGAGGAAAGCACATGCGAAACTCGTGACACCCATCCAACCATTGACAGTCACGGGAAGCAACGGACTGATCAGGGTATCAAGTCTAGTAAAAAAATCCTAGGTAAACTTTCTCACCTTTTGGCCAGGAGGAGCACCGGTAGCTTCTTGTTCTCTTTCCGCCCATCCCGCATTAAGCGTATCGCATCCTTACCATTAAATTTCCAAGCACCTAATAAATACCGATATTTATAATACTTACAATTGTCAAAGAAATCCATGAAGAGGTTCAATATCGGTAGGTGATTAGGTTAGGGGTAGCCGTCATTGGGTGGACTGTAATATGATGAAGAAAATAAGGTAGAGAAAACCAAAAAAGACATAGAAAGATGAAAAGAGGTGCTTATATACATCTCTCACAGGCATGCGCGCGCGCACATTCCTAATTAAGACTAGACATCTATACATGGGTGAAAGAGGCAATCATTGCCTATTCATTTCCTTATAGTTCTTAAAGTCTATTCAGCGGAGTTTTAAAATGCATTTGCATGGTTTTCAGAAAATTAGACAAAGTACTTGTAAACGCTTATGGTACATACAGCACACACACCTACAAGACAAGTTTCACGAGCTTAAGGACTAAAATACTAAACTAGAATGAACAATATAAAAGGGGATAAATTAGGCAGTAACAAGGACTTTCCCTTGCATAATTGAATGCATTTTCAAAATATCAAGTCGATGCTTCCCCCTCCAAGCGTATTCTCTTGGGACATTGCTCTTCACCTTGGTTGCTCACACTTGCCACCTTGCTCTCCTTGGCCTCTACTGAACACCTTTTGTAAGGCTTAAATCCTGTTCGACGTGCCTTGAGCTTTCCATGTCCAAGCCCCATTGTCAGCAGTCCCTCCTCCCCATTGTTTTCGTCTCTCATGAATAAAATTTTCTCCACTCCCAGAGGACTCGAACAAGTCACCCAAGTCTTGATGTTGAGGTCTAAACGGGACCCATCTTCAACTCTCCCATCTGTAATCTGCACAACATTTCCAGTATTGTTTTGATACCCCTTGTTCTTCAGATCATGTGGGGGTGAAAAGCTTTGTGGTAATACTGTTCTGGAGAAGAGTGCTCGAAAGGCCTGCCGCCCCTGTAGATAGTGTGACAAACAGCAGCAATTATTAATACACAAGCAATACACAATCACGGATCATTTTTTGAAACCAAAATTTTCCAGTTACCTCTTCAGAGACTTCCTTCCAAGAATCATTTGAAGGGATGGAGCATCTACCACGACGATTATTAGAGTCACTAGCTGTATGGCTTACATCAGGTTCTTTTGGCTCTTCGTTAGCTTTCTCATTCTTCTCTAGAGCATCTGTCTCTAATTCACTGCTAGAAGATGTGTTGGAACCACATGAAGAACGATCCACCCGTTTACTGCCATTTGCCTTGTTTGAATCATGAAGTTCAGTCATTGCAACAACTTTATCATGATCGGCAGAAGTTATCTCTGTATTTAATTTTGCACCTTCATTTTCTTCGGATCCTGATGATGACGATGTTAGTGATTTAGAAGCAGAAAGTTGCTCTTGCAGAGCTCCAGAGTTTTCCAGGTCCGGTTGTTGATCTTGAAACGGAGTTTCATTAGGAGAGTTCTCTCTTCTTTCACTGTTGGCTGTTGCAGCCGGACCAGTATCTGCTGGAGCTGCAGTCGCAGGAGGAGTGCAGCTAAAGCCTGTGTAAAGAGGAGGACACAAGGGAAGCAATCCATGGGCAGCCCACCATGAAATTGCAGCCGCTACTGTAGCAGCAGCAATCGCTGCCATACTAGGAGCCGGATTCAACTGTCTGGATGGAAAACATCCTGTGGAACCCGCAAGAGAATCTGCTGAAGTTTCCATATTTGCAGAAGGCAAGAATGTAGCTGCAAAGCTTGCTGCAGCAAATGCTGCTGGGTTTTGTAGCAAAGTAGATACAACAAGACTTGAAAAGGCGGAGGAAGTGTGGAGAAATGATTGGTAGTCATCTTGATTGTTGCTGATTGGAGTGAAATGAGGATGAAAAGCAGGAAATGATTGATGAATGGAAGACCTTGATGTATTGTGATGTTCGGTAGTTGCAGATACAGCAGGCTTTGAAAACAGGTTAAGTTGTCCATGAACTCCTTCCATTTGGTGAAATATAGAATCCTGATATGACATATCACAGGAAACATGTTGAGTACTCATTCCTAGGTTCCCATCTAGAACATGCACAGGAACATGTCTTGGATAGTTCTGGGTAGCTTGCATATCATTCAAAAGTGCACTTGAAGTTTCAGTCTGGCACTGTTCATTTGTTTTCTTGCCTTGAATCAATTTCTCATGTAAAGGTTTAGAATTCCCCAAGTTTGAGGTCTTACTCCTGCCATTATCATGGTCTGTCTGTTTGGTGTCAAGTTTACTTTGATTTCCTCTGGATTCAGCCGTGATGTAAGATTCAGCTGTTTCATCCTGGCTAACTACCTCTTTTGTCAATGGCACAAACTCCTTAAAAGTGCATGAAATTCTAGGCGCCACTGGTGGTGGCATGGAAGTTTTGTTTGCTGATGACAGGGGAGTGCAGGGAGATTCTTGGGAAATGGTGAAGACTTCAAAACAATTTCCCTCATCATGGTTTTCTTTTGCATTTCCTGGCTTTTCATCTCCATTAGGTTTCTGATAAACATGTAAGTGAAATAAGTTCAATTTTCTTAAGCAGAGACAGAATTAAGAAGTATCATAATACCAAAAGAACAAAAAAAAGAAACAGTGCCATAAAGGAGGAGAAAATTACAAGACTTTTTTTACCTCAGGAAGCGGTTCTTTCTCCAAGTCCAGTATTTGTTTACCAGAGCACAAAGATGAACCTGATGTTGATAGTTTTCCGTCCTGTACTCCCACCTGTGGGGTTGGAGCTCCCACACCAGTCTTTCGAGGATAAGGATTACTTGGTTTCCTTTTAGGGCGTGGAGGAGGAATATTTATGTCAAGTGCTTGTCCTATTGGAACTCCTTTAACAAGAGCCTCCTTCTCCAACTGGAAAAAAGGAAACAGGAAAAAGAAATTATTACTTATTATTATTTGGACCCAGTTATAGATGAAATTTCAGATTTAAATATTTTCAATGCGCAAGGAGCAGAACCAACATGGAAGAATGGTCTAATTCAAGCGCTACTTTGGAATGTTTATCTTTGAAGCACAAGTACCAAAACAATGCTTTAAGAACAGGCTAATATGAATGCAATCCAGAATGTAACTAAAGAAAAGGAAAACATTGCAGTCCAGAAAAATCTATTCTACTTTTTGTAGTCAAGGTGGAACAAGGAAAATCACCTTGGAGCCTGGTTTAATGATCATTCCAGTGAAAAGGAGGGTGGGGTTCCATTTCATACAACTCTCGAGTCTCCCTAGGATGTCTAGAAGCCTGTGGCATAAAGGTTACTTGGGTGGAATTGGAACGCACATCGAGTGGGTTTGGAATGTACATTTGTGCTACCACCCATTGATGCCCTTCAAAGTTTAACCATAGCCAGTCTCGTTCTTTCTTCCTATTTGCGATAAAAGGTTGGATCAAGCATCATCGTCATCATCATCCTTGCCATAATCCCATGTGAATGGGAGGTTGAATCAAGCACATCCACTAAGTTATGTGAACTTTGGTGAGGTAACATCTTATATGGGCTACCCTGTTCTAGACCATTCACGTCAAATACTCAAAAGCGGTCATTGCTGAGTTATATATAATTTTTCGCTAATGGATCAAAGTGGGAGTATAAGTTTAAAAGTCAACTCAATCATCTTGAAATGAAAGACCATGCCTCTCGCCTTAATTTAGCACATTGAACTTCTGTAACTCTTCCTGAATTTTCAGTACAGTACTTCTATCCTAGAAGAATATTATTCTGCAATTCATTCATTACTTTGCTAGGATTGACCTCCTTCCAGAATGTACACTGCCATGGCCCATGGAGACTCCATCTATAAGAATTCACATTTTAAGTGGATTTCAAAAATGAAGCACTTGACATTTTATTTTCTTTTGGGTCCTCATTTTCTTATGGTCCTATGCTAGATCCTATTACTTAGTTTATTCATCTTTATTTGTTATTCTCAATGCTTAGATATATCACCAACTCTCAAGGAAATCTTTGAATGAACGATGCCTTCTAAATCCAAGTCACAAAACCCATTGTCAACACGTTCCATAATAATATTAGTGAAAAAGAAAAAAAAAAACAAAAAGAGGATGGGGGGGTGCTTAGCCAAACCAGCCCCTTTTCTTGTCTAGATTAGGAAAAACAGGTTGCTTTAAGAGCATAAATCTCTTATTGTGTAAGTATGATAGAATTAATAAAAATAAAAAAAGTCAACAACGAAAAAAAAAAAAAAAAATTGTCAGTGACACTACATGTGGAAAACATGTTGCATTAGTACCATGTAGCCCCAAAATACATGCTGGTATTAATTATGGTCATGGAGCATATAACTCAATATTCATATGCCATTCCGAGTTGAGAAAACTGACAGTAACTTATTCTAGTTATGCCAGTTCAAATGAATTTAATCAATTGGTTGTGGTGGTCCTGAAAAAAATCCTATACATGAAATTAAAATTGGAGATACTGAGATTACAATTTACTGTGATGTCATGAGGCGCATTTTATGATTTTATAATCTGAGCACATTTTATTCCAACAGGAATTCTTCCACTTGATATATCATTATCATCATCATCAATATTATCTAACGTAGTTTCTAATATTGTTTATATTTTCCAATCAAACTTAACTTTCCACTACAATTGATCTTGTAACCTTTCTAACTGAAAAGATCAAATCTGGTCTTCAGGACATTAGCTTTACCACCTACCCAACCACTATCCAACTTATGTCATCCTTTAATGGAGTGGCATGAAAGTCTCTTCTGGACGGAAAGATTGACAGTAGCAAAACACATAGAATTCCAACATCTTGTCCCTTGATAGTGACAAAGCAAATCAAATTTCCCAAATGTACCATAATTTCAAAGCTTAGACAATTAACATCAGCCATAAGTGTTTACTAATGTGATGTCTATTGCTGCTTCTTTTTTTTCTTTTTTCTTTTTTTTTTTGGTAAGTAAAATTAATCGGATTTTACAATTAAGCCCAAGCCCGGACCAGGCGGGTGGGGCGCGCGCGTGGTAAATGGCTTGGACCCAAGCTTTGCCTAGGTCCTCCCCCTCTTAAAAACTGGGGGGGTGCCCTTGGGCCCTATTGCTGCTTCTTACTGAACTCTTAAGAGTCGAAGTATTGACTATAAACAATGCTATATAGGTGGCATTTTGTAGTCCAAATCAAATTCACATCAAAAGTACCCTCATATAGATTTGATTTATCCATTTCACTTTGATATGAGAACTTATATACCCCATGGGCTCGATTATAATAAATTATGTAGTGTAAAGATTTTCTGATATGAGGAACTTGGGGAATATGTGTGTGTCCCACAAGATTCTTCAATTTGCAAATTTTAATCATGCAAAAACTATCAGTTGAATTCTAATTCATAGACCCAACAAGTGACTAGACACACATACATACAGTCCAGATCATGATTCCATCATATTGGAAAGACTAAGATGCACTGTTAGAACCCTTGATGATATGGATCACGAATAACCTTCCTTAACCAGAAGTAACCTGAAGAGCAACAATTAAATATATGCAGAAAATGTCTAAATCAAATATTACTGCTCTAATGAATGCATAGAGAGTTTCAATTTTCTGTTTCAACAATGCAAACAACATCCAATTTAAACGTAGGAAATAATACTGAGACAAAGTGGTTCTCTATAAGTCAAATCCATTGTTTGGATTGTATCCTTATAGAGGTGGACATCTAACAGGCTATCTGGGAAAAAACCAGTAAACAGAGCAGGTGAGTAAAATCACAATGCAACTAGGTAGAACCATAGTTTGGAAACACTAAACAAACCAATCAATTGAACAGCTGGTTTAAACAAATCCAAATATCTTCTTTTCTAAGACAATTCATTTCTAACTCTCCAGCAGCCAATACAGGCTCCTAAGAGTCTCTAAGACTCCCAACGACACCCACATATAGATATTAAAGAAAATCCAAGCAAGATGACTTGAGGGTAAGCTTTATAATGTCGTGGGTGCATTGCATTCACATTATGTCTTCATTTCTACTACTCTTATGTTCTTCAAGTTATCATGCAAACACTAAGATTCTTTTATGTAAAATTAGTATTATAGTACACTATTTTTGTAAAATTAGTATTTCTACATATATATTACAAAATAAAAGTGACAAAATGGCCTCAAATTACATATATCACTATCAACTTTCACCCTTTAGCCAGGAATAACTACCTATCATGCATAGCTTGTTACATAACTCTAGAAAATAATTGTGGAAGGATAAATATAATTATGCCACTATTTTAGAATAGATGGTAGTTAACATAATATCAAGGAAGACAATGTCTTAATTTCAAACCTCACTGCCATCCAAAGAAATATAATTTATATACGTGTTGGACAGAAATCTGACAACGCGTGAGTGCCCGTGTTAGAGGATATAATCAAGTTACACCCTCTCTAACAACTTAAGCTTTTAGAGTATCTGGTGGTTAACAATAACACTTTCCTAAAGCTGTAATACCTATCTTGCATAGGTTGCAAAAATTATTTTTACTAATCAGTGTACCTTGAACAAAATGGCAATCCACGCCTATATTTTTGGTTTCTCAAGAAATATACAAATATCAACATACTCATTGTCAAAGGTGAATTGCTACTTGTTAGGGTTTTAGGAGATCCCATCTTGTACAAAAGTAATTTATCCTAAACATTTCCATAAGCTCACAACTCAACTCAACTTAACAAAGCCTTTTTCCCAACTATTTGGAATCAACTATGTGAATCCTGTACACCTTCTTGGCCTTTTATGTAACCAATTCAACCTTTTCATTACACTATTACATCATTTTCCATGTGACCAAATTGCTACCAAACTACCAAAAAAGCCACAAAGTGCAACAAAAATATAGATCTCTTGTCCATCTGATCAGCTGCTCAATCTGCCTAGAGTAATTCGCATAAAGAAAAGGCCTTAATAGATTACTCTTATTGAAGCTCCCTTAAGGTGCTTCAAGGTACAATAAACTGCTTCTATTGACATTGCATTAACTTCTGTACAAATAAACTAACTACTTCAACTGCATATGCATAGGCAAGCCATGGTCAGAAAATAAGCATTTCTACCATCTTTAGTCTGCAGGTTCATCAAATAATGCAAAATCATGCTTTCTAATTTTATCTTAGGATCCAAGAGTGTCAACTTATTTTACCCCTACAAAAGACCTAATTTGCTAGAAATCAGTAACAAATTTTCTCTGTGAAAAAAGAAAGAAAAAAGAAAGCCCTTTAGCAGACTTAGCAACCTCATGCCCTGAAATACATTAGCTAACAAAGTTCTTTATATGAATATAATACATCAAGTGAATTATAAGATCATTGATACCTACCAAATCACTACCAGTATCACCAATGCCACCAACATACAAATGTCTAACAAAGATTGAACAATTACCATATTCTTCAAAACCAAGTTGAAATTTTCACTTCAAATACCTTTTTTTCATTTTTGATCCACACATCTTAAGCAACTCCTCATAAGCAACATATCTAAGACCTTGTCCATTATAGACTTCAACCTCAAGATCATGGTATAGAAAAACATTGTTAATGTCAAGTTGGTAGAGAAGCCAGCCCTATACAACGGCAACCTAAAGCAACATGCAAAAAGAATAAAGAAGTCATCACAGGGAAAAGGTTTAAAAGTAGCACCAACATTTACGTAGAACCCTTAGAAACCAACCAAGCTTGAGATAACTTTTTTTTTTTTTCTTCCTCCATCATAGCTGCTAGATATAACAAATTTATCATATGGAGATATAGTTCTCCTTGTACTGTTGCCCACTTAATTTTTTTTTTTTTGATAAGTGTACTGTTGCCCACTTAAATACAATAACTCCTTGTCTTACCATCAACTAATGCTACCAGTCATTTAAATTTCTTATTTCAACTCTACTCAATTTACGGACATGCTTTTTAATTGCCAGATTACGTACTGAAATACAGAACAGGCATTATACTCAATTTACGAACATCTGTTTTAATTTCATAGCTTATGTACTGAAATGCTTAGCAGTTAAAATAGTCACCTCATAATTCATAATTGATGGTCCAATCTATTCCTAGATCCATCATCCCATATGTACAAGTATAGGAAGGTCAAACCTAGTTACATAAGCTAAAAGACTAAGATGTCTTAGATCTGTAATCTTTCAAGTAACAAACAAACCATTGAGGCTAGAATGGCATACCCCTATAATGCTTCATAGAAGTCTATAAATGAATATGTTGGGTGGTGAAATGACAAATATTAATGCCTGACATTATAAATAACCTCAATCATAAGATCTTACTATTTACAAAGCAAACACGAGAAAAGAATATTTACAAACTAATATAAAATAAACTTCTCAACCTTGCGTTGAGTGAAACAAAACAAAAAAAAAAAACCCTTAACATGCCAACTTCGAAGACAAAATTTAGTTTTCAACTTTAACATTTATATACAACTTTGGTGCAATTAGTAAACTTTTCTTGTCATATAAAGTGTACTAAAATTTACATTTTACCTATGCCATTGTCCTAACGTGTTTTTACACTCTTTTGCTAGAATTAGGACATATAATTAATTAAACTAAAGAGGTTTGCTGGTCTATGAGTTGTTCTACAATATGTTGAAGAGGAACAAATTAATTTATTCTTCATAGGTTGTGTACCTTCTGTTAATGTTCTGTGGGGTTGTTTGTTAATGGTTCAGAGTTTTTAGTTGTTAAGAAGCAAAATAATGCAGGAATTTCTTTAAGTGGACAACTTTGAGGTTTTTCTGGTCTAAATATTGCTTTGAATATTACCTCAATTGTCACCTTTTGGACTCTCCGAAAGAAAGTAGAGCTTGTGGTTCTGAAGAGATCTTTGGATTGTATTCATTATTTAGAAGATAACTATAAAGTCACTTCAAAGCCTTATCTTATCGCAACACTTTTTTTTTTTTTTTTTTTTTAATATTATTATTATTATTCTAGATTGTCATTTGCTTTGTTTCGAAGCTTCCTTTTGTAATTGATAACTCCCAAAAACAAAAATAAATTAACATGCACGAAGTTTGATTCCTAATCCAAAAACAAAAATAACAAATAATAAGGGTATGTGTGTGTACCTTTTTGGTTGGTATATAATTAGCATATGCCAATAAACAGAACTTTG